CCTTCTTCTTTGCATGAATTTTTTTTCTTGGCATTTTCCCTTACATGAATTTTTTTTTGTTTCCCCCCACCCCCATCACTTTTCTAATGGTCCGTCCCTAAACAAAAGGCGACCTGATCAGCAAAATTATATTTAGAAAGTAGACACAATGAATTCTGCAAAGCTGATCATACTACGTGAAAAAAGATGCATCCGGTTAAAATCAATCAATCAATCAATCAATTTATTTGCCCTTTTTTACATACAATAATTACACATTCTTATAATAAAAAAATACTTGAGCGGGAGCTCTCTGCAAACCCTGTAGGGGTTTTCAAGAAGAGCCAGTCTGGACAACTTTTATACAAGTATGATTTTAATTTAAAATTACGTGTTTGTGTTATAGTACATGGATAAGCCCAACTCCGTTTATTGAATTGAACTTTATCTTTTGCAACGTTTTGAAACTTAAAAAAGCGAGTAAATAAAAAAAAAGTATTTCGGTCAGCGTTGCCATGCAGCTTGTTTTGAAACGCTTCTTTCAGTCTGGCCAGTATAGGAGGGTCACAAAAGGCTCAGGTTAACCGCTCGCCGTCAAAGGGCCGGCTGTATTTGCAGGCTAAGATAACCTACCACAAACTACTTGCGGGGCACGACATCACCTTTTGCAGATTATTCATAGTGAGTCTCTCTACTCGATTTGGAAAAAACAGAACTTACAACGATCTTAAAGAAAGACGATGAGACGGAGGTAGGAAATCAAAGGCGCTGCTCAGTATATACCCAGTAAAAGTTTAGAATCAGAAGTGAATGACTCCCTGGTGTTTTTAAGGAGCATGGATAAGCTTAAGATAGAAAATGGGTTTATCGACGGAGGTACAAGACTGAGCTTTTGCTTGTTGATTTTACAGAATCAAGGAGAAGAACTATTAATTCGAGTATTACAGTGGCTGTCGCCTTTGTAGACGTACTCAAAGTTTTTGATAATGTCCCACATCGGGTCACTCAAGAACTTTGGCATTTGCGATCAAGTACTGGGTTGTATTGCTAGTTATTAAATCGGAGAAAGAAGTACACAGTCGTTAATTGAAAGCCTTTGACACCTTGACAGGATACGTCGATATACCACAAGGATCTGTGCTTGGTCCTACAATTTTCTCTTTATTTACCAACTGTATGATTGGTTTATTCTCTCACCGTATATCGGAAAATGCGAGGCTATGCTGATTATTAATACCCCTGATAGGCTCATGGCGCCATCCATGTCCAATTAAATGTCTCTAAGGGAAAGTATGTAGTAGTCAGACTAGCATACCTTTCGAGGTAACCACAGCAAATAGGTGACATTAAAGGTATTGCTATAGAATGGGCATAGACGATTGTTTAAGCAGAATTTACTGATTTATTTTTTCTAGAACTGATAACAGTCACGAGTTTTGTTTACAATTGTTGTAGTCCCAATGTTGTAATTGATACCTTTGTCCAGCGAAATAGCAAACCGTCCCTTCCCACGGGTAACGGGGCCTCGGGGAATGGGATTGCAATCCCCTTCCGAGTAATGGGTAATGGGAAACAAGAGACCATGTCTCTTGTGGCAAACTAAAGTGTGTGTTTTTGTTTACAGGCCGTTGCATTGCACTAATCGTGAAAAAGAACTCATTTCACGGCGGACTATTTATAAGGTTTCGCTCAAGGTTTCATGCGCTCACCTTAAATTTCAGAATCGATCCGACCAAAAGTGTGTTCACAAAATTCAATAGCAATTTTGTATTTGGGAGTCTGACAGTCAACTTGCTAATAGTTTTTCCTTACAAATAATGAACAACCTGTCAAATTCACATGTTTCTTACCAGCTATAGTGTTCCCTTGAAGCATCACGGGAGATCTATATCACACGGGGGGGTTGAATAAGCTCGGCTCCGCGCACGGTACAGACGCGGCAGTACATCATTTTCACGCTGTCTATTATTACCAACATAGGTGAATATGCCCTCAATATTAAGCGAAGGTAAGTTTACTTACATACATAACAATGAACGTCGTAGCAAACCCAATAAATTGTGGGCGACGCAGTTGTCCAAGATGACGAATTTTCATCTAATCATCTAATTAGCTAATTATAATGCAATCAATCAGTTGTAGACACAAAGGTTAACTTTGCAAGGAAGTCATGAGCAACATATTTATACCTGGATTATATTAGTATTATACACTGAACTACCTATGGCAAATAAAACGTTCATCAGTTTCGCAAGCAGATCTCTTCCGACTTACCCTTTTAGTTGTACGATCATCAGGGATCTAAGACCCTTGAAACTTATAATAAGAGGTTTAGATAAATATGACTCAAGGTTATTCGGTCAATATCTTTGTGTGCCCTTTCTTTTTCCTTTTTTTTTATTCCGTTAACGGGGCAAACCGTCTCTCACAGCCCTTCAAACACGAGATTTTCGTTGCTTGCTTAGAACCATGTGCGCCGGGTGCATAAACCGACTAAGCGATCACAATGCAGTACCTGTTATTTCAAGATTCACACCTGCTCACTGCAGAGAGAAAACAACTTGTCCAGGAATACATAACATATAAAAGAATGTTTTTATTGAGTCATATTTTGAACACTGATTTTAAGCAGGTTATTTTAAAACAAATAGATAATGTTACTGATGTTATGTGCGCGGTTTTCTTTCTTTCTTTTTCTTTTTCATATTTCAGTAGTCAAATGTTTGAATTATAGTATGCAATAAATGGCTTGCACGCTTCTGAGACCCCTTTCACTCTGGTCTGGAAAATTTGAACGGAGAAAAACTTGAACGGATGTGCCTTTTGTTTATACATACAGTTACTGAAACAGTGCAAGTTTTTGTACGGCAAACAGTAAAGCAAACTGTAACAGAAGTTACACGGTTAAACCGTGTAAACAAGTTGCAAAGATAAAAAATTCGTACGTTCAAAAAATTGTTCTTGACCCCTCGGGGGTAAACATGTTCTCTGAGAACTAGTATAAGCTTCGCAAGTTCTGAGGCAGAAATGACTCATAACAGTACCGCGGCACACTGTTTGATGAGGCAAGTGCAGTATCAAATGTGAACAGTCTATCGCTGTGTGGTTTGACTATTAATGTAGTTAAGGGGGGAGGGGTCCCTGCGTGAAGTGGGGGAAAATATCGTATCTGAGCACGAGTTTAAAAGAAAGAACACGTTTTATCTAAGAACAAAAATACAGGTAGGGCTTAACATTTCTAAGAAATAGAACGTTTGATTTTTTTTAATGTTGATTATGGAACGTTCCCCAATTATAGTCGTTGAGTAGTCAAGACTCAGTGCGACATTCCCATTTCAAGTCTATTCCTCGGTTGCCGGTATGGTTGTGTGACTTTTTTTGTCTCTAATAATATCATTTGCAATTAGTCCCTATAATAGAAAAACACCCTGAATCCTGCACAGTTCAACTAGGAAGAGATTGTAAACTGTTCTGTCATGTTACTGGCAAGAATCTCAAGTACCGCTGGTATAGACGATCTAGATGCCTCGAGNCCTCGGTTGCCGGTATGGTTGTGTGACTTTTTTTGTCCCTAATAATATCATTTGTAATTAGTCCCTATAATAGAAAAACACCCTGAATCCTGCACAGTTCAACTAGGAAGAGATTGTAAACTGTTCTGTCATGTTACTGGCAAGAATCTCAAGTACCGCTGGTATAGACGATCTAGATGCCTCGAGGGAGAAGTAAGTTAATTGTTCATTTGTAATCATCCAGCGAGTGGAGCCTCATTTTATCTTCTTGGTGAGGAGAAGAAAACACTCTCCCTGATTCGCGTCAAGACTTTGAAGTCGCCACAGCCCGAACCTCTGGTGGACTAGTCAATCTTATTTCCCCTCGTCAAACTGGTTTTTCGAGCGAGAGCATCCGTTGATTGATTACCGAGGCCTATGTTCCAAGCGCACGGCTATTAGGCCTGGGTTGGAACCTGTATCCTGGCGAAATGCAGCGCATGCTCAACAAAGATCTTAATCGATTCATGAAGTCTTAAAAGCAAAAATAAAGGGTGCGTTCCTTTGAGATGATCCGGATCCGAGATCACTCAGATCGAGAGGTATCAAAGGAACCAATGAATACACTCAAGGAAAGTTCAAGGATCGGTTCCTTAGGTGTACCATGATCCGAGATCACTGATCCTGTTCTGGATCATCTCAAACGAACGCACCCTGAGCCTCTGCTTGTAGGACGATTTCAAATCAGTATTTGTCTAAAGCGACCTTGACAAAAAATGTTGTTAACACAATAAAAAGGAATGGGAAAGGAAGAGAACGCTGAGAAACGAAAGACATTTTATTGGTTAGGTGTATTTGCTTATCTTCGTTACCTAAAAATGTTTTATTCAAGCGAATATAGGTTGACGAATTCCCTTACGTTTGTCTTATCAGGTGTCTCCAGTACTCCATATAAGAAAGGCGGCCATGAACGACGCCGGGCAGTATTCATGCATTATTTCCAATGACAAGGAGTCTGTAATCACGTGGGCAACCGTTGACGTCATATCAGTTATTTCATCTCCCAAAGTGAGATAGCAGTAATATCATTACTTTAGAACTGGACATTTCATGGTGTAATACATCACGCAGTTTTTTGACTCCTGCTATTAAACTTCAGCTTATCGATCAAGCAGCCATTTTAACGGCGTTGGTTGCCGTTAATCTTTGTAGATTCTTTAATGTGTTTTATTTGTAAGTTCTTGGCGAAGCACTGGAATATTGCGTGATGGTTATTTTCTTGAGTAATATTTATTTGAGCTATTTCTGATTGCTTTTTCTCTTCCCCGTATAAAACCCTTTTTCGATTAATCGTGTTTGAATAATAATAACTGATTGCGACTTTTACGATATAACAGAGAAAAATTTTTTATCTAAAATAGCGAACGTATTGTCTTGCCATATAAGGAATAGAAAGGCTAATAAGTCATCTAAGACAGAAAATGCGGTATTTTCTCAACTATCTACCAGACCTTAAAAGGTCTTGACTTAATTCAAGACATCAAGATTGTATAGATTATTCTTAAACTGAAACCGAACCAAAATAGTCAGCCTTACATTCATCATAACCTTTTTGACTGTATGTAACCAACAAAGTGAAATTTTGTCTGCGCCCCTAATTTATTATTCAATGTTTTTATCCGAGCTACAACTGTGTAGACAACACAATACTTCATCATCTACACATGAGAATGCTTTCGTTCATTGATAGCGACAAATCACTGTTCAATGCTTTCCATAATTCGTTTGTTGTGATTTGTTTGTATGCTTTCTTTGCGTCGTTTTAGCATTTTCGCGGCTTTGTTCTTCAATCCGGGATGGCGTAACCTCCTTCCATTGTCTTACTCGTCCCCAGGTCTTCTATATTTGGATCGCACGCGGAGGACAAAGCGTGAAAAGCGTGACCGAAGGAAACGCAAGGGGTGAGGGGAAGGAAGAAAACAAAAGGGGGAGGCCAGGCGTAGAAGAGATGTCATCTCCCCTCTCTCTTCCTTCCCATGCCCCCTCGCGCTTCCCTTGACTTCGCTTGTCTTGTTTTAACATATTTATAGGAGACTGAGAGACGACTGGGAACGAGTCAATGCCAGGGTTTTAGATAAAAATAAAAGAGGACCTGGGAACAAGGGTAAGGAGGCCCCGTCAAAAGTTAAGTCACTCATGAGTTATGTCTTGAATATTTGATTGCTTAAAAAAGGTCGGGAATTTTCGAGATCTTGGCGGAAACGTGCCAAAGACAGAAATTTCTTGGTTCCAGATTTCGCATCTTATGAACTTATATTTGAAATTAAAAAA